CCCTGTGATCTGTGTGGGCGTCCCTGTTTGCTTGCTTTTTACACTTGGGGAAAGGGCAGCAGTTGTCAGCCCCAAGTCTATATCCCTGAAGGAGTAAGAGTCAGTCTGTGCCAAGACCTGTGGGTGACAATTCTGCCTTCTGGGGAACAAGCTCTTTCTCCCATCCATGTCCACCCCCAGGAAGGAACTGTCCCTGTGCCTAGGTGTCATCCCCTGTAGGTTCTCTGCTCTGGCACTGCCCTCTGTGGCTGGATCAGGGTCTGAGCCTGGGCCCCTGGGTATCTTTGGTTTCCGGGCCAAGTGTCAGAGTGTGGGCGATGTTGTCAGAGGGTCGGCCAGTGCATGGTGAGTGGAAGGAGGGAGCAAAGGCTTTCAACTGCATGGGGACATGGCAGGTGAGAGAGCTGGGCGTCCAGCACGGCGTCTGTGCAGGTTGAGCACGTGGGGTGGGAGACGTGGGCACACTCAGGGGTGCATGTGGCAGGAGCCAGAGGGGCATTGTTTTCACCATATCAGTGACAACCTACAACAAAAGACACTACACAAAGCGATTTCTAAATATGTAGCGTTGAATTGGGTATGGAAAGAAGCATTATAGTTCGGAATGTGAGAAATGGCAAGCCACCGGGGAATTCAGTGAGGGAAGAAGAAGGGGCTTTTCTTTTTTTTTTCCTCTTTGTCTTCTTTTTTAGTAGCAACATTAGGTTTACTTAAGGTGCTTAGAAGCAGAGTTCACAGGTTGCAGAGGATCAGAGCCAGAGCGGTTTTCAATCCCTTGGCGGAGATGGTCCTACAGGCAGGTGTTCTTGCCTGGATGGCGGCCATCCTGGGCAGTGTCTGTATGTCAGCCTTAGGAAAGCAGGACAGATGACAAGGACCAGAAGGGATCTAGGAAGTCCATGGAACAGTTCACGGCTCTGATGCTTAAGGATGAGCTACTGCTCCCTCTCTCTGGGGCTGACAAGAGTGATTTCCACCTGGTATCTGCTACGTCCCCATCAACCTGGTCCTGACGTGCCTTGATTCCTGGTCTTTTCTCCTCTGAGTCTGACTCTAGTCTTCCCTGTTGTTGCCATTTGCAGACACCTCGCCTGCGACTGCTGAAGCGGAAACTGGTAAATAATCCAGCTTCTCATACCCAGCCAGCGCTGTCCCTCTGCATGAACTTTGTATTTGAAGGTGGGAGGAAAAGGCCCAAGGCGGGCCCTTCCTCATACATGGCATCCTGTCCCAGGTGCTCAGCGCAAGCCCCGGGGACTCCCTTAGCCTCCTGGGAGCTTGGTGCTGGGCTCAGGGCAGGGACAGCAGGCCCGGGGAGGAGTGGGTGAGTGTGGGGGCAGCAGTACCTGTCTGGCCCAGGTCCTGTCATCGCTGCCTCATTGGCAGAACCCAGAGAGGCCCATGCAGGTGCTACCAACCTCCTGAACCAAGGGACGTCCCAGCCTGACTCCTGTAGCTATGGGGCTCCATTCTGTGTGGGGTCACAGTGGGGAGCTGGGAGAGGGGCGGACCTACCCGTCACCTCCTCTGGGTCCCCAAGCTTCTACATAACTGGAGCATCCTTGGGCCTGACACTGCAGGGTGTCACTGTTTCATTCAGTGTGATGAATTCACCTCTGGCCATGTTGAGAGGTCCCTGGCTGCACAGGTGACTGGGGCCATTAGCAAGATACCTGAGTGTGGAACATGTCTTAGTTCCTTGTCCTCAGGACAGGCATTGACAAATGGCTCCGTGTCCCCCTCTAGTATCTGACGCTGGTTTGGCCCTGAGGCTGGTGAATGGAGGTGACCGGTGTCAGGGCCGGGTGGAAGTCCTGTACCGAGGCTCCTGGGGCACCGTGTGTGACGACAGCTGGGACACCAATGACGCCAACGTGGTCTGCAGGCAGTTGGGCTGTGGCTGGGCCAGGTTGGCCCCAGGAAGTGCCCGGTTTGGCCAGGGCTCAGGCCCCATTGTCCTGGATGACGTGAGCTGCTCAGGGCACGAGTCCTACCTGTGGAGCTGCCCCCACAGAGGCTGGCTCTCCCATAACTGCCAGCACAGTGAGGACGCCGGTGTCATCTGCTCAGGTGGGCCTGCAAGACATTGGGCTTCTATGTTCCTGTGTGGTTTTCTTCATAAAAAGGCTCCTGTACCCACAGGGCTCCTCTCTCCCTGAGCTTCTTTGCAAGATGGGCAGTTTTCCTGATACCTTAACAGGGCCATAGCAACCCTCAAATGTTTTTGGTGTCTTTGAATTTCTCTGGGTGGGCCTGTGCTCTTTCCTTATGTAGGTCCCTACTGCAAGCATGGTTCTATCTGCTTTAGGGTTGTAAGAATAAATTCCCCCAATACCTTTTTTTAGACTAACCCTTGTAGTTATATGGACTACTTGAGTGTTCTGGACAGCTCTCGGGATGGCTCTCAGTGATAAGGAGGGAACAGACACTCGGCGTGTCTCTCCGCCACCATCCCGGGACTGACGGATGTTTCCTTCTTTTTCTTGCAGACGCCTCAGTAGACCCTACTACTTCAGGTGAGTCCATTTTACCCCAGCTGACGATATTCCTCTTGTGTCCAGAAGTGGGAGGAGTAGGGCAGGTTCCTCCTGAGGAGGGATTTCTCCCTGAGGACTCTGGAATTTGTTAAGGTGACAAGCTGAGTTCATGGTCCCATCATGTCTAGCTCAGCCTCCAGAGCCCCTGTGGCCATCACCTGCTGACAGAGCTTATTCCGAGCTGCTGCTGGGGGAAGGAGGTATTGGTCCTCTTGTCATTTCTGATGCAAATAATTGTGTAAATCACCCATGGAGAACTGTGACCTTCATGTTAGAAAGATGGCCAAGTAATACTTCTACACGTGTTTGTCTAATAAAGAATTCTAGCCAGGGGCAGTGGCTCATGCCTGTAATTCTAGTAGTGTGGCAGGCCTAGGTAGGTGGATTGCTTGAAGCTGGGAGTTCAAGACCAGCCTGGGCAACATAACAAGACCCCATCTCTACAAAAAAAAAAAATTTTTTTTAAATTAGCTGGGTGTGGTGGCACATGCCTGTAGTCCTAGCTACTCAATAGGCTGAAGTGGGGAGGATCACTTGAGCCCAGAAGTTTGAGGCTGCAGTGAGCTACGATTGTGCCATTGCACTCCAGCCTGGGCAACAGAGAAACCCTGTCTTAAAAACAAACAAGGCAAACAAACAAAAAAACCAGTAAGAAGAATTCTTTCACATTGAGGGAGCAATCTGTGAAGTGTTCTTTGTGCCACAATGAAAATGGAAATTTGTTGGGCCAAATATGTTGGGAAACACTACATACACACTGTAACCCTTAGTGGCCATTAACAGTGCAAAGTGAAATGGCCAAGGCTCTGAGCAGTCCTGCACTACGAAAAAGAATTTAACTTTGTCCATCAAACATGTGACAATGGAATTGGAAAATTATCTGTAAAGTCCTAAAACAGCTTCACTTTCTTCCTAGATTGGTGGCACCCAACAACTGCAACCACTGTGGGTAAGTACCGTGTTTTCCACTTACACCACAGGACATGGATTGCTTATCCCCAAGCTTGGCTATCCATAAAGTGGACCCCCCACCTTCCTCAGTCTGCACACACAGCCTACCCCTGGACCGTCCCCCTCTACCCTACACCCCACCTGGACACTCACACCCTTCACATTTCTCCTGCTGGGAAGATGCCTTTTGTTTGAACTAAAGAGTTCTATTTCCTCTTTGTGTGAACCAATGAGCTAAGTATTCCTAAAAGAATATACTTAAAGGCCTTTATTTTTTTTGAGTATCTCCAAAGCTTTGAGAGGAAAAAGGGAGACAAATAAATGGATAATTTCACAAGTCATCATGCTTTTCCATGTACTTTTTATGTCATGATACAAGTATGTTTCAATATTTTTCCATTGCTCTTAAAAAGTGATACAGCTACTTTCCTGTGTCATTAACTATTTTCTCACCATTATTTTAAATACCTGAATTTTATCCTGTTGTACAGCTAGGCCATGAATTATTTAACTGATTCCAGTTGCTGGACATCTAAGTTGTTTATATTTCTTCATTGGTATAAACAATTCTGTGATGAAGAATATTTTTATAGATAAATCTTTGCATCTCTCACCAATTTTTGTCTTTAGGATGGAAATAGATTTAGTGGACTAAAGTAAACAGTGCCTGGCATATAGAATGCACATGATAAATATTAATTCTTACTATGTTAAGTATTTGAAGATCTTGCTGCGTGTATGGTCAAACTATCATCGAGAATGGTTGTAAAATTACAGAATGATGAAAAAGACAACTCATCTCCTACCTCAGAGCTCACAGTATTAAATGTTTAATACACAGTTAACTACAGAATTACAGTTGTGACTAGATGGTGTTCTTCATGGAAGTGTTACTTAAGCTGGGACTTATGAGAGCAACAGGTTCATTCACTGAAATATCTTTTAGCCAGAAGGAATGTTTCGAAGGTCTTGAGGTGGGAGGGAGCTTGGCTCTTTGAAGGAGGGAGGGCTGGAGCAAGAATGCCTGCAGGGGAGCTGGTGAGGGCCAGTAGAAACACGGGGAGTTAAGACTCTCGGACTTTATCCTAAAGAAAGTGGGAGCTGTTTAAAAGTTTTAAGCTGAGGAATTACACAATTGGAAGTGTATTTGCAAAAAATCATGCTTATCTTTCCTGCCAAACTGTGTGTTTCCTGCAGGTAGAGGCCATGTCTGCCTTTTTCATAATGTGTTCTTATTACATAGCGTTACATCTGCCATTCAAGACATGTTTGTTAAAACAATAAGTGAATGAATAGATATATGAATGAATGAATAAGTATATAACTACTAATGGCATTTTGGCATACTTTATACACACACACAGTATAACATGCTTCATACTCCATTTAATAATATCTATTTTCCATTTATTGAAACCTTAAAATCTGTACCCCCATAATATGCCGAAAAAAAAAATCTATTTTCACTTAAGTATACATAACAAATACTTTTTTTCATGACTTTAAAATCAGCATTTAATGGCATTGAAATTACTTCTATACAGTAAGGTTGAATGACTGCACAATTTTCCATTGTACACATGTACCATAATTTAGTTAAACAATTACTAATTCTAGAGCAAGAAGATTGTTTCTAATTATATTTTGTGATCTTAACTATATACAATAACATATTTCATTTTATTTTATAACTGTTTCTATTCTAAGAAATCTGTAGTTCACATCCTTGTCTCTAAAACTTAGACTTTATCCATAATTATTTCTCAGTATACAAATAGAACTTCTAGGTAGGCACATTTTAGAGGCCAAAAACACTGTTTTCCCACAAAATGGGAGAAAATATTTGTAAATCATATGTCTGATAAGGAACATGTACGCAGAATATATAAGTAACTCTTTTTAGTCAATAACATAAAATTAAATAACCCAATTCATTTATTCTTTATTGCCAAATGATATTCCATTTGAGAAAATTCATGTATTGCCAAATGAGAAATGGCCAAATGAGAAACCCATTGAGAAATGGGCAAAAGCTCTTAATAGATACACAAATGGCCAACAAACACATGAAAATATGCTCAGCATCGTTAGCTATGAGGGAGATGCAAATCAAAACCATAATGAGATACCACTGCACACACCGTAGATTGGCTGTGATCAAAAAGTCAGACTGGTGAGGATGTGGAGAAATTGGAGCCCTCCTACACTGCTGGTGGAAATGTCAAACGGTGCTTTAAAAAACGGTCCTTAGAAAGTTAAACCTGAAGTTACCATATGATCCAGCAATTATAGTCTTAGGCATATGCCCAGGAGAAATGAAAGCTATGTCTACAGGGAAACTTGTACATGAATGTTCAAAGCAGCATTATTTATAATAGCCAAAAGTGAAAAAGACATAAATGTTCATCATAGTGAATGGATAAACAAATGTGGTGCATTCACAGGATGGAATATCATTTGGCAATAAATGAATTTAATACTGATTCATACTACAACGTGGATGACCTTTGAATGCTAAATGTTTTCAAAGAAGTCAGTCAAAAAAGACTACCTATTATACAATTCCATTTACATAAAGTGTCCAGAATAGGCAAATCTACAGAGACAGAAAAAATAGATCAGTGGATGCCTGGGACTGAGGGTGTTGAGGGGAAATGGAGAGAGACTACTAATGGGTTTGGGGTTTCTTTCTGGGGTGATGAAAATATTTCAAAATTGACTTACAGTGGTGGTTGCAGAGCTCTAAATAGACTATCAACCATTGAATTATACACTTTGGAAAAAGTAAACAAAGTTATGAAAAAGAAAAAAAGACAAGTTGCTCAATATCACAGAGCTGATGGAGACAGAGTCAAGAGGCAAACCCAGGATTCCTGCTGCAGAAACCCTTCCCCTGTCCCCACTTTGCACTGCTTGCCAAGTAGCAGAATCCTGTGCTCAGCTGGTATCATCCCTCGTCCCTCTCTGTAGTTGACCGAACGATGACAATAGTCCCTTTTTTGGTTTCTCAGCATTTTTGCTACTGGGTGACAGAGACTTGCTGTCCATGCCCAAAGGGGTAAGCAGAGGCTCAAGTCAAGGCTGCTAATGGCGGGCAGCCTAGAACCAGCCCCGATGCTTATATGGGAAAAAATAGATCATGTTATAAGGTGTAGAGGAGGACACCGGGAGGACTCTTGCCCAGAAGATGATCGCTTGTCACGAAATGCCTGAAGATCTGCCACAGTGGAGATACCCCTCTCTTTCCTCTGTAGGACACTCTTCAAGTTATGGTGGCTTCTTAACCAATGCTAGTGGGACATTCACCAGCCCCTTCTACCCTGGATACTACCCCAACAATGCTAACTATGTCTGGGAAATAGAAGTGCGTCATGGTTATCGCATAAACCTGGGTTTCAACAAACTGCAGTAAGTAATGCCAGGTCACCTGGGGAGGGCGAGGCCTCACCAGCACACCAGTGGTTCAGGCCGTGCCCTGGGCTGGGGGCTTTCTGTCCTCAGGTGCTGTGCACAAGCTTTGGGTGGCTTTGATCCCTTCCAGGAAGCATCAGGCAATATTGGGAAGCCCTTTGATTTGATTGAGGAAGAGTTACTAATAGAAGAAAACCACATTCAATTAGCCAAGCGCGGTGGCTGCACCTGTAGCCCCAGCTACTCAGGCGGCTGAGGATCGCTTGAGCCCAGAGTTGGAGAGTTTGAGGTTGCCGTGGGCTATGATGATGACGCTGTACTCTAGCCCGGGCAACAGAATGAGACCTTGCTCATCATAGTCCAGACGATCTATAAAATAAGGCAGTAGGAATTTTGATGTTGACTTTAATACATTTTTTTCTCACGCAGGTTGGAGGCACACAGCAGTTGCAGTTTTGATTATGTTGAGATATTTGATGGCTCACTGAATAGCAGTAATTTGCTGGCGAAAATCTGTAATGACACCAGGCAAATATTCACATCTTCTTACAACCGAATGACCATTCGTTTTCGAAGTGACGTCAGTTTCCAAAACACTGGCTTTTTTGCTTGGTATAACTCCTTTCCGGGAGGTAAGTGCAACCCAGACCTGGCCTGTGAGGCTTGGGGGATTTATGTCGCCCCTCCGTGGGTGCGTCGTGGCTCCCAGGGAAAAGCAGAGAAGGGCTTCAGTGCTGTGTTGTCCATCCTCGGTCTCCCACGGTTGACCGTGTGAGCCTGGGCGCGGCAGGTCCTTGGCAGAGGCAGCCAGGTGTGCACACCGGGAGACACACCTGGCCTTGGGTCTGCTACCTACTTCCTGGGGGGACTCGGGAACTCTCCCTGCCCCGCCAGTCCCTCCCCATCTGGAGCTGAGGGGGTCCGAGTTCTGTGACATCTGGAGTCTCTTCCCGCCCTGCATGGAGCAGTCCAGCCTCCACCCCATGCTTGGACATTTCCGTTCGGTGACTTTGGGGGTGGGGAAAGGCCTGGGGGTCACTGGGCCTTTGAGATTTGTTATGGGATGTGGCCATCACCTTTTACTGCATGTGTCTTTCAGACGCCAGACTGAGATTGGTTGGTTCAAACTCCTCCTACGGCGGGTGTGCCGGGCGCGTGGAAATTTACCACGGTGGCAGGTGGGGGACTGTTTGTGATGACTCCTGGAACATTCACGCTGCCCAGGTGGTCTGCAGACAGCTGCAGTGTGGACAGGCGATCTCTGCCCTGGGAAATGCCTATTTTGGCCCTGGCTCGGACCCCATCACCCTGGACGACGTGGTGTGCTCAGGGGCAGAATCCACACTCTGGCAGTGCCAGAACCGCGGCTGGTTCTCCCATAACTGTGGCCACCATGAAGACGCTAGTGTCATCTGCTCAGGTATGGCAGGGCATCACGGAGGCCCCATTTCACCTGTCACCTGCTGTAAAGTGAAAGCTGAAGGCCAGAGGCAAATGGGGTTTATGGCTCAGTTTTAGAGCTGGGGCGGGCAGAAACTGGCCACCTTGTCCCCTTGGCCCGTCCACTGCAGAACACCGATGCAGGGGCCCACTTTGTCTCTGTCCGGTTTCTGCACCCAGGCCCTTTCTGCCGGACACGGGGCTTTATGACCCGTAGCAACGATTTAACTTTTCTAAGCTTCGGTTTCCGCGTTTCACTGGGGCCCCTCACGATGGTACTTGCTGCCAATGACAGCTGGGATGATTTTAGAACCATTCTGGGCAAGTAGGAGGAGTCGGTCATGGTGACCGTGGCTGTGGTGCTGTGACCCAGATGATGACGGGGCTGAGGGAGCTGCAGGGAACCCACTTGGGCTCTCGACAGACACCACTCGGTGGGCCACGGTGCACCCCCAGCGAGGGTCGGACGATGAGTCACCTGGGGTGTCTCTCCCTCATTCTGGCCACTCCTCCCAGCCCCGCGTGGGTAACCCCTGCTTTTCTTCTATCTCTTTCTAGGAAACCCCGTAACATCCAGTGAGTACCCGGCATTCCCTCCACTTCCCGGTGTTCAGGCCTCCCCGCGGCTGTCGCCCAGACTGCGAAGGGCACGTTGCCCGCGTCTAAGGAGTCCCCTGCTGAGCCTTCCCAGCCGGCTGCATCCCCTGCAGCTGGAGTCCCCACCCCTGGGGAGCCGGGCCTCTCTCTGTCCTTCAGGGGCCTGGCCCGCCTGAGGTTCGGGTCTACGGCCTGTTTCCCCGACACCAGACCCTTGCCCGCGTGGGCCCGATGGGGCCTGCGACCCCCGAGCCGGGCACGGGTGGGCTGCCGCTCCTCAGGGCTGCTCCCGGTGTCCCCAGCACCCGCCCTCTGCCCTCCCCTGCACCTCTGCCTCCCCTCGGCTCCCGCTTCCCACGGCAGCCGCCGCTGCAGGCCTCCTCTCCGTCCAGTCTCCAGGGCTGGTTAGGTCAGCACGGCCTCAGCACCCTTCAAGTGACTCCGCAGGGCCTCCTGCGTGCAGGTGCCCCCTCAGCATGCTCCTGGGGCTCCCCATGGTCACTCCCTTTGTCTGCATGGAGCTCACTCTCCCCTCCCTGCCCCGTCTATGCAGAGGTTCCCAAACCTCTCGCGCCTGGGTACCTGTGGGCATGCCGTTCCCGCTCCGGGAGCTCCGCTTCCTACCCCTCTGCAGCCCCCAGATCACCTGCCCTCTTTCCCCAGCACGGTCTGGGCCAGGAGCAAACCTCCGAGCTCCCACGCTGCCCCTGCCTCCCTCAATCTCGCCCCCATGCCACCAGCTCAGCCCCGCCCTGCCGCCCTGTAGCCTCAGGGTTGCCTGCACTTGGGTCGAGGATGCCGGAAAGCTGATCGTGGCCTTTTCTCTTTGTCCACAGCTGCTGCTACTGCTACCGTCACCCGCCCAAACAGTAAGTTCTGAGCTCCCCGACACGTCTGTGGCAGGGATGCCTGGGAATGCCCTTCCCTCCCCCTCAGTGGCACCGTGGCGGGACGACAGGACGACGAGGAGATGGCCTCCCTGCGCGTGGCCTCCCCCCAACCCCCAGGGGACGGTCCAGATCTAGGCCATGTCTTCTTGGGTTTCTGTCTGGGGAATTGTGGGAAGAATCCCTCCCACCCCCCGCCCCAGGTGACTGTGCAGTGTGCTCTGGGGGTCTTCAGCATTTCCATTTTGTCACGACAGCAAATTATTCCTGCGGAGGCTTCCTGTCCCAACCGTCAGGGAGGTTTTCCAGCCCATTCTATCCTGGGAACTATCCGAACAACGCCAGGTGTCTGTGGGACATCGAGGTCAGATACAACTACCGTGTGACTGTCGTCTTCAGCAACGTCCAGTGAGTGTGTGGGTGCAAAGCAGAAAGCACCGGGGACCTCGCACGCAGACGTTTTAAGAGGGAGCAAAGGGTACTCAGGGCGTCAGGAGAGAAGTCTGCCAGGCGACAGTTTCTATTATGGGCTCAGTTTCTGACCTAGCACAGAGGCAGCTCTTGGAGGGTAGAGCGGACCAGAGCTGTGGTTTGAAGTCCCAGGGATGTCACTAACTTGCTGTGTGGCCATAGGAAGTCACTCAACATTCCCGAGCCTCAGTCAAATGAGAGGAAGAAAATACCTGCTTTCCTCACCTCATTCATTACTGAGCAGGTCACAAGAGAGAAAGATGTCACGAACATACCTGGAAAATGGTATCCAGTGGAAGAGACGGCTGTCAGGAGCGATGACAGTAATCATAACGCACAGGATTCCGTTAACCGCGCACCCGCCTTGTGGAGCCCGTTTCTCCCCACCCCCTCTTTCTCCACCTGAGTCCCCGAGCGCCAGGCAGAGGTGGAGAAACCGCCACTGCGTAGGCAAGGTTATCTGCGTCCAGTCACAAGTGGAAACCAGAGACGTCACCAAAGCACATTAGTGCACGAGTTACCCAAGGAGCGGGGTGGCCAAACTGACCGCGAAGAGGTCCCAGTATTTTGTCGTGTCCTAGACCAGGGGCTGCCGCGATTTCCTCTCTGACGGCCATCGCTGAGCAAAGTGCTAATAGTTCTCCCTCCTGATTTCTGTTCGCAGTGGCCTTGTCAGTCTCTGCCTTAATACTTCCTTTGGGATCTTGCGACAGAGACATTATGTTAATCTCTTTGTCCTTACAATACAATGCCTGCACATAAAGCTCCTGATACACTATGAGAAAAGTTGATCGTGATCGGTTCTTTCACCAGTGCCTTGATAACAAAGACCGTTACCCTCCATGACATTTTATATTCTGTGGGGCAACCTGGGGACTTTTTGGTAGAAGAAAAATGGTCTAAATGAGGACGTGAGCCCTTCGTTTCATGACGTACAGGGCTTTCAGGAGCAGGGCTGTAAATTTCACATGCGTGACCCCAAAAGGCAGGACTTAGACCCAGGTGCAGAGACCATGGGAGCCGAACCTCCCCTTTTCTACGAAAATCTGTTATTTTCAAGGGTGAACTTTGTCAGAGTTTCTGGTGCAGAGGCGTGACGCCCTCCCTGAGATCTGATCGCCCTGCCTCAGTGCTGGGTATGACAGGGAGCCCAAACCGTGTGTCCTCTCTCCGCAGGCTGGAAGGTGGCTGCAACTATGATTACATCGAGGTGTTCGACGGCCCCCACGACAGCTCTCCCCTCATTGCTCGGGTTTGCGACGGGTCCAGTGGCTCCTTCACTTCGTCATCGAATTTCATGTCGATTCGCTTCGTCAGCGATGGCAGCGTCACCAGGAGAGGGTTCCAGGCCGAGTACTTCTCCAGCCCTTCCAACGACAGCACCAGTAAGTCCCCTTGAGGGAATGCTTGGTTAGGAGCGGGCACAGCCTGAGAGCCGGCTGCTGCTCAGCTGTCCCCTGGCTGTGGAATAAGAAATTACAGTGGCCTTGTCAGGCCTCCAAGGCTGAGGCTCGTGCTGCACGAGGCCAGGGGCTGAGGTCCTGGGGGCTCTGGCTGGTGGGCAGCGTGCTGGCCTCACTGTGGGCGGCAGAGGCTGAGTGGAAAGTGCAAGATGATGCGCTCAGCAGATAGTGAGACGTCAGTGCCAAAGGCAGGGAGGGACACCACCTGGCCTGAAGCCGTGTGACCTTCCCACAGTGCAGGACCCTAGGGCCATGTCCTGAGACCTGGCACACTTGGCTTCTGTCTGAAGACGGACTGAGCTGGTCACTCGGCCCTTTCCCACCAAGGCTGTGAGGCCACAACGGGGTTATTACATGGACTGATATATAGACCGGCCAAGGGCCGGCAAGGTGCCGTCCAAGGTCTCACGTGCAGTCAGGATTCAAAGCTTTGACCTGCTCCATGGCTAAAAGGCCTTATTTCATGACATCTCCACAGAGTAACTGTAGAGTTACTTTACTCTATGGATAAATGGTGAGTGGGCAAAACATTCCCCTAACTTAAAATCCTGTCTCCAAGTCTCCGTCAGAGAAATTCTGAGTCCGTGTGCCCTCCCTGGGCTTTCCTGAGGAGGGGGCGGGTTTGGGGGATGTGGCAAGGTCTCTTCTTTGCAAACATGTCCCATCTTTGTCAGCCATCGCCATCCGTGCACCTGTAAGTGGGAAGAGCGCCTAGTAGGACCGGTGGGGTTTGGAGCACTGACTGAGTGTGTTATCTGCCCTTGTCCGTCAGGCCTGCTTTGTCTGCCAAATTACATGGAAGCCAGCGTGAGCAGGGCCTACCTCCAATCCTTGGGCTATTCTGCCAGGGACCTTGTCATTTCCAACTGGAACGGGAGCCACCAGTGTCGGCCCCAGATCATGCCGAGCAAGGTGGTATTCACAATTCCCTACTCGGGCTGTGGCACCGTGGAGCAGGTAAGCCTGGGACTTCCCGCTCTGTTTCCTATAGGGCAAGATGTCTTATGGTGGGAGGTGCTGTGCTGCTTGAATCCCAAGGATCCGGAAGCTAGGACGATGGTGTAATCAGGGCATAACTGGGGCCGGGCGCGGTGGCTCACGCCTGCAATCCTAGCACTCTGGGAGGCCGAGGTGGGTGGATCGCTCGAGGTCAGAAGTTCGAAACCAGCCTGAGCAAGAGCAAGATCCCGTCTCTACTAAAAATAGAAAGAAAATAATTAGCCAACTAAAAATATATAGAAAAAAATTAGCCGGGCATGGTGGCGCATGCCTGTAGCCCCAGCTTCTCAGGAGGCCGAGGCAGAAGGATAGCTTGAGTCCAGGAGTTTGAGGTTGCTGTGAGCTAGGCTGACGCCACAGTGCTCTAGCCTGGGAAACAGAGTGAGACTCTGTCTCAAAAAAAAAAAAAAAAAAAAAAGGAACATAATTGGAGTAAAGGAAGATATAGGTCTCGGTGCCATGATGATCGCTGCAGCCACTCCCCAGTGGGATGTTGGAGGAGGAAGGAAGCTTGGCAGGCAGTTTCCCCACCCATGTCAGCAGAGAGGTGCCTGGCAGGCTGCCACTCACATCAGCAGTGACAGCAGCAGCTCTAGGTTTTGTAGGGCCTACAGCTTACATAGTTTGGCTTGGGGTGGGTGAGAGGGTCAGGGGCCTCATTAAGCTAAAGAATGCAAATATATCTCATGTTTATAAATTTGGCAAAAACGTATTTGGTGCAAACACATTGTTAGGCCTTAGAGGCAGCTTGTGCACTGGCTTTGTAGGGGGAGGGGACAGAGATGTTTAAGCTTAAGCCTCACAGTAAGTTGGCCTCTGCAGCTACCATTTGTTGAGCTGTCACCGTCTGGGGTGACTAACCGTCTTCGTTTGTCTGGCACTTTGCAGATTTTAGCATAGCAAGTCCCACGCCCCAGGAAACCCCTCAATCACTCCTAGGCAAACGGGGACAGTTGGTCACCCTACAAGTGGCAGACACTGTGACTAGTCTGTGCTATATTCCCCAAGTTCTCATCAAGTATTCTCTTATTGTCACCCCCACTGTGAAAACGGGGGAGACTGAGCCGACAGGGGTCAAGCAGTTTGCCCTGGACCCCTCAGCCAGGAAGTGTAGAATCTGAGAATCTCAAAAGCTTTATGCTGAGCAAAGGAAGCCAGGCCCAGAAGAGTGGGTGCCCCCCGATTCCATTGCCATTGCCATTTGGAAACAGAGAGTGAGTGTGCAGTGATGAGGCTGGTGACTGCGGATGGCAGAGGGGCAGCGGGGCTCTGCTTGGGCAGGAGCTGTCGTCCTGCTTCTCACTGTGGCGGCAATCCCAGTGTCAAACTGGTGGCACGTTTATCATGGGTGCACTTAATTGTATGTAAACTTATTTTAAATCAGCCATTCCACGTTCTAGATTTTCATCTGACCCCTAAATAATTATTTCAAGATTTTGCCAGTCAAGGACAAAAAAGAGCCAGTGCTTTTATTTGGCTTAGGCCTGCAGTAAACACACAGCATGAAAAGCTCAGATGCACGCACGGCGCGTGCAGTGCACACACGGTCAGGCGGCTTCAGTGTGTCAGGCGCTTTCGTTCACCAAAGGCACATGGAGCGCTCGCTGCCTGCTGGGCACTGGGCCAGGTGCCGAGAGCATGGTGTTCACCATCTGGCAAAGTCGGCCCGCTCTTCGGCACGCAGGAAACACTGAGAGAGGAGGGGGTACCCATTTAGCCACCCGGGCGGGCCCGTGGGCCACAACGCCTGTCTGTGTCCAAGGGCCTGGGGTGCCCTGTGATCACCCCGCCTGCTCGGCCAGACCCCAACACCAGGCCTCCTTCAGAGAGGAACTCAGCGAATTTAGTGGGGCAGGTGGACTGACTGGCAGGGCCAGGCACGTAGCGCTCACGCCACGCAAGCCTTCTATTCAATGTGGCTTTCCTAGTTCCCTCTGTAAGTCAGTCCTGTTGGGTTCTGCTTTGTCGTGAGTTTGGTCAGTGGGAGTCAGTCGCCTGGTGCCGCTGGCATCTCAGCGACCCCACTGGTGGGCCTTCACCCCCATTCGAAGGGCCAAACAATGCACCAAACCTGTGTCTTCTGACTCGGCTGGTCATGGTCAGCACACGCCACACTCTCATGCCTCCGTCTATTGAAATTGCCACACGCCTACCAGCGAATGCCGGAGGCTTTGTCGTAGTATCATTAACAGCTAGTATGCATGCCAGGCGCTGCACTAAGCGTTCTCCGTGACTTTTAAAATCCTGGGGAGAATTTTATTCCCACTGCATCTTGAGGCAATGGAGGCTTGCGGAAGGTATGCCGCTTGCCTAGGACCACAAGGTCACGAGCGCGAGGCCAGGACGCAAAGGCAGGGCTGTGCGACCCATATAGCCGGAGCCTCCCACACCGCCACCAGGCTGCCCCGTTTGGCGGGTGTGTCGCGCATGTTTGCTGGTGTGGCTGAGTTAGATGACATCCTCCTGCCTCGAGAAGGATCCCAGGGCAGGAAGAGTCCGAGTCTCCATGGAAATATCAGTGGACTTATCTGCAGGACTTTCCATGGCATACCAAGTTGACTTCCTTCCAAACTGATCAGATGCCTAGTTATGAATTTTAGTCTAAAATAAGAACTGCTTCTTCTGACCAAGAAATGAATCTGCACTCCACGTTCCTTGTTGGGAGTGGATTCAGAATGTAGCTCAACCATAGAAACCCCAGACAGGTGTGAATTCTGTGAACATGTTCGTGTTCACATACAGAGTGAAATGGAAAGCACTCGAGCTTGTCTTTGAAAGAGTGAGAAGGTGACAAAAATCCCATAGTTTATTATGGCAACTGTTGGTGCTGAAATGTAAAGCAAGAGAAAAACTTGAAGAAAATTTGAAGGCAGAAAATGTAATGTGCTAAGAGCAGGTGGGGAACACAGAGCCTGTTCCTGTGATTCTCGCCAGAGCTGGGCCCAGAGTGTGGGCTCTGGCATCTCCTGCCGGCCAAAGTGACCGGCCCAGGCTCCTGGTCAGTCTGGGAAAAGGGAACCGAGAGAACGGAGAAAGGGAATGGTCCCAGAGGCGGCAGAAACCACTTTACGTTTCTTGTTAAGCTTTTCTCTTTTCACAAGTTTGGTCTGGAAGGCGCATACCCAGAGCAGAGCTCTGCGACCACAGACTGGACATAGCGGACTCTCCAGCATGTTCCATTCTTGAGACTGCTTGTGTTTGAGTTGTGTTACGTGTTGGCTTCAGAAGGGACCTTGTCTAATGTCCCAACCAGCCAGGAATGGAGTTTTGCCTTTGACAGTGTACATGGCTAACATGGCAAAGGACTTCTGTTTAGGTCACCGTGGTGTTATTTTCATTCCCATTCCTGCAAAAGCACCGGTGGTGTGCTGGGGTTCTCACTGTACTGGGCTGGGAGGGGGAGAATTCCCTGCGGTCTCCAGCCTGGAGATGGCTCAGGTGTGCTCACCTCACCTGGGGGCCGGAGGATCATGACCCCGGAGCATCAGGGGGCCTTGTTCACTTGCATCATCTTGGCTGCTGGGACAGATGGCTCCTGGCCCTGTCCTCCTCCACTCATCACTGCATTCATGTTGGGCCACTGGCCCCCATACCTTTCATTTATTGTACAGATACTTAGAGGTGCTACTCATGCTGTTGTGGCACTGTGCCACGCCCTGGGGAAAGAGGTGCTTAGGTGCCATCCTTTCCCTCAGATGCTCACAGGCCCGCAGGGGTAAGCCTCTCATCTCCAGAAAGGTCTCCCTCAAGACATCCAGCGCACACCAGAGGCACGAGAGACCAACATTCTTATGAGTTTGCTGCTTAGTGAAAAGCACAGTAGGAGATGGTCCCTTGCTACAGGGAGGTGAAAAAGCAGCAGGGCACAGGAACTGTTCCCGTGTTGCCATGGCCCACCCAATTGTCCACGTGAGCCTCTGGGAAGTCCCTGTCCCAGAGGTCAACACCAGCTCCCACAGGATCAGACACCAGGCTGCAATAGCCACCAGTCAGTCAATCAAAACAGAAAACAATTAAGACCGATCCCACCAGGTCTCCTCCCAGAAGTATGTGACCCACCCGCCCGTACCCCCAGCAACAGTGAGAATGAACTAGAACAAGCAAGAAGGGCCCAAGTCACATGGTCAAGACACAGCTAGTTATAAGGCAGGATACGAGGCACCCAGACCCACCTCTTGCCACGAGGAGGAGCTCCCCGTGGCCCCAACAGCTGGCCCACACTGTGGTCCTCACACGTGGTAGAGGAAGGGGGAAGGGGTGAAAGGAGCAGAGTCGTGCTAGGTGAGCTGGACGTCCAGCCCAGGGAATAGCAGCCATGGGGCGACATGTGCCATCTTCATGTGGTTCTGGGAGGGTTTGGGGGTCTGGTTGAGTCACTTCCTTCTCCTTCCAACCCAAATCAGCAGTGAGATTGGCTTGGCAGGTGACATTGCCTGACTCTGCTCTCCCGCCTGCCCCTCCCAGGTAGAAAACGACACCATCAACTATTTCAACTTCCTCAAAGCAGCTGTGTCAAGTGGCGTCATCAAAAGGAAGAAGGACCTTCATATTCACGTCAGCTGCAAGATGCTGCAGAACACCTGGGTCAACACGATGTACATCGCTAATGACACCATCGAGGTCGAGGAAGTCCAGTACGGCAATTTCGACGTGAACATTTCCTTCTATACATCGTCCTCGTTCTTATATCCCGTGACCAGCAGCCCGTACTATGTGGACCTGGACCAGAATCTGTACCTCCAGGCTGAAATCCGCCACTCCGATGCCTCGCTGGCCTTGTTTGTGGACACCTGTGTGGCCTCCCCGTACTCCAGTGACTTCACGTCTCTGACCTACGATCTGATCCGGAGCGGGTAAGGACTGTCTTCGTGGAATAGACTCAGACCCTTACCTGACCACTCAAACAGGAGCAGCTCAGAAGGCTGAGGAAGGCAGATCTGGGTTCACCCCAGTTCCTCGTAGCCCAAGCGTAACCAGATTCCTTTCTACGGGCACTGACATCCTGCGGCTTTTACCTTCTGAGGTGCTTTCACGCTGCGCCCTGGGCCACAGCCCTGGTGGGAAGGGCAGGGGGATCACGTGTTGCCTTTAGTTCGCCTGTGGGGAGAGTGGAGCAACTCACCAGGGGTCACCCAGCAGGTTAGCCATAAACTGGGATTAGACCCCAGGTGACCGAACTCCAGCCTTAGGCTTAAAAACCCCCTGCGCGTAGCGGGAACAGCAGTGATTTTGGAGCAGACCAAGGTTGAAACACCAGCTCTGTCCCATGCCAGCTGTGTGGCTCTGGGCCAGCAAATGCACCTCTCTGGGCCAGATCCTCCCCTGTCAACTGGGGATGTTGGTGCCCACGTCATAAGTTTGTTGGGAGGATTGGGTGGGAAGGAGTGGATGGGGTGCGGGTGCAGCAGGTCCTTATTCCTCCTACGGACCCGGGAGTGAAAGTTCTAAGAGTCCAGGCTTTCCATCAAGCTCAAGAGGAGCAGAGGTCAGGCCAGGGGTTTCCAGGCTGGCTCAGATGGTGCCCAGGCCAGGCCACTCTACCATAGTCCAGCTTCCCTGGATGGCTGCACTGTGCTGAGGTGGGCTTCACTCTTCTGCGCTCATGAAGATGTCCCAAGACACCAGGGTGTGCAGGGTGCAACTCTGGTAGCCTCGGTAGCCGCTGCCTCCCAAGAGAACTAGGGGTGGAGGGGCTAAATTTCACACCTCCGCGAGATACCTGACAACATCTCTTTTTAGGCACAGTCTGAATATGTGTCAGTTCAGTCAACAGGTGTTGCGGCTCATATGTGCACAGTCTATGCAGTTAGTTCAATTCACAGCAGTCCCCTTGGCAGCCGAGATGGGCAGGAAAGCTTAACAGATTCCCTTCTGCAAAAGGCAAGATTCCCTTCTACAAATCGTCATAAGGTGCTACTCGAATTTGTGTGAAATGATTGAAAGTGACACAAAGGATCGAGTGATTTGGTTCTTCCCTGCCAACGGATTCTTTCTGGTCAAATTCTGCCATGTATCTATGATAATGCTGTGGGCATGGGGAGGGGATAGGTGTGCCCTGATGGCACAATGACTCATTGGCCACACCTGGCCATCAGCAGATCGCCCACCTGGATGCCCATTGGAATAACCTGGGGCTTCAAACACACCCTGCCTGGGCCCCACCCACACACTCTCTTTATTTGGCCTGCTGGGGCTCTGGTATCTGTATTTTTTTTAAATTTTTTTTTTATTTTGGCATATTATGGGGGTACAGATTTTAAGGTTTCAATAAATGCCCATTTCCCCCTCTCCCCCAAAAAGTCTGAGTCTCCATCATGACCATCCCCCATGGTATCTGTATTTTTAAAAATCCCTGCAGGTGATTCTGAGGTAGGTGCAGCCCAGACTGCGGTGCTCCAGCCCCGCAGAGCCCCTGCCTGGCAGGGTTTTATGGGAAATGCAATTATTGCCCAGGCAGCTCCTGAGTTATACCGACCTTTTTTTATAAATGCCTCTTCCCTGGCCTCTGAGGGTGTTTCCTCCCCTACCTTCACTGCAAAGGGAGCCGCTTGAAAAGTGGAAGAAAGAAAGAAAGAAAATCTTAGTATGGAAGAGAATCTGAGTTGGAAGTGGAGGAAGGAAGCTCCGGGAGGCAGAAGGAGGAGGGCGGGCAGGCCGGGCCCGGGCCCCAGGCAGAGCCAGGCTGCCCTGCAGACCTGCCCACCCGCTCCTACACCCCAGCGGCTGGCTCTCCTTGCCCTCCTCTTTCCACATCCCTCAAAATCCTAAATGCCCACTAATGTGGACTTTGGCAGGTAAGCTGCTTCCTTACCTGTAGGATCTTGTGGAGGTGCGTCCTCATCCGTATCTCAGTAACGTTCCCTTAAGCGTGTTCTTAGGTTACTTTGCCTCTAACGCCAGCTGAGGCTGTTGGTATTGGAGTGGGGGCTCCTGGAGGGTGCTCGGGCCAGCGTAGGAGGTACAGCTGCTCGGGGCTCAGGGCAGGCTGGGGGGGTCAGGAGAGAGAGGTCCTGAGAAAGGAGTGTTGGGAAGGGCAGGGCCACCGACATATCCAGAGTGCAGCCTCATGTCACCTTGCCTGGCCCTGAGACCAGGGAACAGGAGAGAAGTCATTGTCTTTTCTGGCCTGTCTCTGGGCCCTGCTCCCGGGATCCAGACTTGAGCTCCTCCCCGGCCCACCTGGCTTCCCCCGGACGCTGAGCACGTGGTCCTCACGGTTTGTGCCCCAACTCACTGTGCCATGTGGGGCCTGCTTGTCAGCCTGAAAACTCTGGGAGACTTGCTGCTTAAAGAGGCTGGTGGTACCCCAGAGTGGCCAGGACTTTCCTGCACACCCAGCGGCGAGTGTCGGTTCTGCACGGACACAGAGAAGGTGGGGCTGGGCGGCGAGGACAGGCCGTGGAGTTCCGCGCCTGGCACCACTGGGTCGGGAAGAAGGCAGGGTGTTGATGGGAGCTAATGTGTTGCTCCTCTCTCCTTCCAGGTGCGTGAAGGATGAGACCTACCACTCCTATGCCCAGCCGTCCCCCCGCATCGCCCGCTTCCAATTCAATGCCTTCCACTTCCTGAACCGCTTCCCCTCCGTGTACCTGCAGTGCAAGATGGTGGTGTGCAGGGCGCACGACTACTCTTCCCGCTGCTACAGGGGCTGCGTGGTGAGGTCCAAGAGGGACCTGGGCTCCTACCAGGGGAAGGTGAACGTCGTCCTGGGGCCTGTCCAGCTGCAGACACCCCAGGCAGAGAAGAGCCTCGGCGGGGGGTCATCCTCGGACCCCACTGCCCACCAGGGCGCAGACCCGTGACCACTGGGGACTTGGGATGTTTCTGTTGGTGCCATGTCCTAACTGAAATTGAGCACCTACTGTATGCCAGGCCCACTGTGCTATGCGTCCCCTCAAGGTTCCTGGTATAGGGCTTGGTTCCCAGAGTTCTGCCTGGGCAGTGATGGACCTGGCACCTTTGTCCTCTGGGTTCTCACCTGTGAAATGAAAATGTCAATACTCGCCTCTTAGCTCTGTTGAGAGGGTTACATAAAGTAATGTTGATTAAACTGCCTCGGCTCTGCCTGGTACAGGTCATTGGGTGCCTGGTGCATGGGAGTTCCTGTTACCATTGTTGTCACCCACGTTGACAACATGAGTGATAACGCTATTCCTCATGACGATAACCACAAACTGTAACGCCAGACGCACTGCAATTTGTCCCGACTGCTGGCAGGGTTCAGCCCAGCGCAGGCCATTTTCATTTTCCTCACTCGGCACAGCGACTGTGACTTCTGCCGTGCTGCTTTGGTGTGGACGAGGACATGTTCGCAGAGGGTTCCCAGGATTTCTGGCCCAGGCTGGGGTCAGGTCCACAGTTATGGTGGCTGTGCCGTTGGGGACAGACTGGGGCCACCGTAGCTGTCACAAGCCCTCCCCTGTCAGGGCACGACCATGGGGCACCTTTGACGGCTGTCTCTCCTCCTGTGCCCTGTTCCGGCAGTCTCCACGTCCCGCAGATTCTATGCTCTTTCCTCAAGTCTTCATTCATTCAACCAATATTGCAGGCCTACTATGTACCAGGAAGCAAATAAATGAACAGACATAGCTCAAACTCCCCGCCCTTGAGGAGCTGACACTCCAGTGAGGGGGGGTGCAATTCAGAGCAGGTCCTGCGCTGTATCTCTCAGCGGAACAAGGGGCAACGGACAGCAGGGCGGATGAAGGGCCCACGGGGACAGGGCTCACCTTTCTCCTTCCTTCTGGTCCCTGCAGCTTCTGTGGCAGCTCAAGTCCTGGGACCCCTTGCCTGTGACTCTCGTAACCATTCCTCAATTGGTCTGAAGGTCCGACTCTCTGCCCTCCCACCCACCTGCAGCCTCAGGCCAGATGTGCTCTCCCAAAGCCCAGCTCCGAGTTCCTGCACAAGAAACCGTCCCTGACTCCCCTTGACTGATGAGAGAATGTGAAATCTTTCTAGTCTGGCACTCAGCTGCCGTTGGGGGCTGGCCTCAGTTTCCCTCTCGGCATTTCCCCTTGCCATTTCCTTTCTCTTCCTACCAAATGGTAGGAAGAGATTGCTTTTGCTCCATCCTGGGGACTACAGCCTTTCCTGGTCTTCCTTCTCCTCTGCTGGGCTCTGTCCTGGTCCCAACTCTATTGCTGTAGTCTCCTCTCCTTCCCAGACCTGTCGGTGGCTGACGTGGAGGAGCTGGCAAGCTCCCGGAGGAGTTATCACAGCTCTGCTGTCGCTGCTGGGCTCTCCCTGCCTGGGGTCCTGGCCGTGGCAGCTTCACGCTGGGGAGTAGGACCCGCGCCGCCAGCGGCTGGCCTCTGAGCTGCAGGATGTGAAGCCAGGAGAGGATGCTCAGACGGTGGCCACATGGGCCCAGGCACCTGAAAGGATGGAAGGAATGAAGGGACAGAGCTTGGCACCCAGCAGGTCTCAAGCTCTGTTTACCGTGGCACAGGTGTATGGGGGGGTGGTTAGAGGTGGGAGTGAAGAAAGGTGGGGGCCAGGTTTCCCCCAGGTCCACAGGCTCAGTGCTGGGGCAAAAGGTAAACAGGCACTGACAGGTAAAACCCTGCACGCAACTGTGAGCCACACGCTAGCAGCAGCAGAGCTCCCTCTAGGTAGAATTTTTCTGACCATTTCCAAACCAGCTTCTCAGGCCTATAGCATAAAACTCACTCAGCCTTTCCTTATGACAGGGCAAGCTGAATCACGGACCTTTTTCAAAGCGCGAGTCAGTTGGGCCGGTGTTTCCAGCGGCTCACCCAAGTTCTGGATCCCTTCGAGTGGAGCAGACAGGTGGGGGATGGCAGAAAGAGCGACGCAGGGCAGTGCCTGTGTCTCCCCAGCGGCAGGGCAGGACAAAGGCTGAGAAAGGCGAGAATGCTAACTGCCTCGTAACTGGTAGTGCTTGTGATTTGCAATCAAAGACAGTTGGCTCCAGGCATGCAGGAATCTGCCTGTTTTGGTTTCCGACACCATCTCTGAAACTGTGGGCTGGGCAGGCTCTAGGGAGGGCAGCAAACCGTCAGGGCCCCGAGGACAGGAGTCCTGCTTGCATGAGCTTTCCAGGGAGAAGGGGATTGACAGGTGACCCCCAGGAGCTCACAAGCAACAAAGGGATGAGGTGGGTTCAAAGGAGGCAGCGAATTTGCCAGAAATTAGAAGAGAAGCCAGACCCGGGGCCCCTAGGCCAGGCTTGGTAGGAATGGGAGCTTTTGTGTACTGCCCCAGCAATGCCAAGGTTTGCCCCGTGGAACCAGGCTGAGGACCCCTGCTCCAAGAGGGGAGAGCTAGGACGAGCCTAACTGCGGAAGTGTGGCTTGAGCTGGCAGCAGCTGCAGACCCCAGGATGAGGGCCAGAGAATTGCAACCGAGACTCGCCTAGGGCTGACCGAGAGCTGCCACCACCAGCTACAGTGCAGCCCCCTCAGCCTCCGTGGGGTGCAGGGTGGGCCCCTGAGCCTTACTAGGTGTCAGAGGAGCTGGGGCCCCAGGGACAGTCCCTTGCAGGTTTCCAGTCTACCCACCATCACCCCCATGCCCACACTTACCCTCCCAGTCCAGGGTGGTCAAGGAAAGCCTTGAGGGTCACCCCATGATGGCAAGTCTACCCTGAAAGCAATGGCAAAGAACTGAAATGCAGACAGCAGCCGGGACTGGGTCTGCAAAAGCAGCAGCAATGTGGAGCGGTGTGCAGATTTGAGACCTATCAGAGGAGCAAAGTGGCAAGTCACACATCCAGGAACTGAAAAAAGGACAGGACTCTGGGACCCAACCTGGAAGCCAGACCCTGTCCATTCACTCCTCCCTCCATCCCAGTGGGCGCCAGCCCCCAGCCGGGCTCTGGACTTGGCCGTGGATGTGGAGAGTGTCGCAGACGGCCCCGCATTCATCCAGGAGAAACTCGTTTCCACCAGACTCCTCTGGAGCCTCCTCGTTCCTGGGAAATAGCCCCTTGGAGCCAGGCATTCCTCATAGGTGACCACTGGGTCCAGACTCTCGCTTAGCCAACTTGGAAGCCCCTCGAGGGAGGAGGTAATGGCCCCTTTGTCAGCAGGGCCCAGCCAGGTGGGTGGCTACTGGAGACAGATGAGTTTGGGCGTGAGAAGCAGTGAGGTCCAAGAGACGGGCAGAGCAGAGGACATGCTGCTGGTGACAGGGTCTCTGGACTGAAGCTGTCAGTGTGACCAAGGCTCCAGTCACAGAGGACACAGAGAAGCAGGCTTGGCTGGGAGCAGGGACACACCATCCCCACGACACTCGGGGGAAGATGAGGCTGTGATCTCCAGCAACTGAGGCTGTGGCTTAAGGCAGGGATGCTCAACTCTGGCTGCACGAGACAACGACCTGGGTACTTCTAAACCTTCCACTGTCAGGCTGCACCCAAACCAGTTAGATCAGAATCTCTGGGTCTGGGCCTGAGAGCAGTGACCCGAGAGCTCCAGGTTGTCCCAAGATCAAGAACTGCTGGGTTAGGGCTGCTTAGACCCCACCCTGGGTCACCAGTCAATCCCCTTCTCCCTGGAAAGCTCATGCAAGCAGGACTCCTGTCCTCAGGGCCCTGAGGCTTTGCTTCCTTCCCTGGAGCCCACAGCTGTGGAGACGATGTCAGAAATGTCACAAGCGTCTCATGCTTGTGCCCTGTGCATGAGAAGGAGCAGTGGAGGCTATGGGTCCCCGCTATAAGGATGGGGTGACTCAGGGCATGGGGCCTAGCAGACTTGCCCCCAGTGGATCTAAAGGGTCCACTTTCCATTTGCTATTGGATTCATGTCCCAAAAGGCCATCTCACAATATCACTTGCCTAAAGTACCTCATTTCTGCTAATTCACATTGCCCCAACCTCTGCTGTTCAGGAGGATTTGCCATGGAGGAAATGGTAATTAAGCATCTCCTGCCAGGAGCACCTCTGACATGTCGTGAATCTAAACCTCCTGACAGCAGTGTGGCCACGTGTCACCACTCTCACCTGGCAGGGATGAAGGCCTGGGTCAGAGAGGTGCAGTGACACACAGTACACGCAGGATTTGGGGCAGAGAGTGGCAGAGCTGGGGTTGGAGTCAGCTTCCCTGAGTCCTGGTGCCTGGTCTTCCTCCTCTTTCATGGGCCCACGGGCACCCTGCACCCAGGAGGCCTGGCCGCGTGCTGGGTTCTCACACAGCACTGCACCGACACCCTGGCTGCAGCTCGTCTGCGGGACGTGGGACCAGATGCCACAGGAGGGGTTCGCAGCACCACTGTGCCATCTCCACCACATCGTTGCCAACCTGGCCCCGTGGCACTGTTCACTTTACCTGGTGGGGGCTCCTCCAGCTCCCTGAATAGCCAGGCCCTGCTAAAAGCACAGTGACTCTGCCCCAGGCTCCGCCCTCAACAGCGTAACTGACACGCCGACACTGTGTCTCAGGGGGCCAGAACTGCAAGGCCCTGTCACATGGCACCTGTCCCGAGTTGTCTTCTGTTTCCTGTGGGGACAGAGATGACCAGCCATTTGGGTGACCAGCATCTCTCCCACCACCCTCCTGCCATCCACCTGCTGACACCAGAGGGCGCTGTGGCACAACCTTGGGGACTTGTGTTCACAAGGAGCCTGCTACTTTGTTTCTTTGGGGGCCATTAGTTGTCCAGTATAGGAGAGGGCTCCCGGGAGTTTGGCTCTAACAAAGGACCCTTGCAAAAGCCTGCCACGGCCCCCATTCGTTACTTTAAAGAGTCAGGATCTGATTCCAGTGTCTGACAGCAGAGTGGCTGTCCCCACCCCAGGGTGAAGGCAGCTGCCCTGAGGCACTCCAAGATCTGTCCCCTCCAGCCCTGTCCTGGGCTCCAAAACCCTGCAATGGCCTTCACCGGGTTTTGCCCAGAGCAGGGCCTCAATCCCCCACAGCGTTGATGACACCAGGGTGGCCTCAGGTGGGCACTACTCAGGGACAGCCTCAGCTCGTGGTCATTTTCTCCAGGGGGAAGATGGGCGTGACCTCAGACTCACCTCCCCACTGATTGTTAGTTTAGGAGACGGCGTCAGTGTGAGTGGGCCGCAGCTCTGCTTAGGTGG